CACGTGCCTGTAATCCCAGCTACTCAGGAGGCTGAGGCAGGAGAATTGCCTGAACTCAGGAGGCGGAGGTTGAGGTGAGCCGAGATCGCGCCATTGCACTCCAGCCTGGGTAACAAGAGCGAAACTCCGTCTCAAAAAAAAAAAAAAAAAAAAAAAAGAAGAAGAAGCAGGCAACAAACCCCACCAGCATTAGCAGTCCCTGAGACTGTCACCAAGAGAAATCATAGATATTTTACATCTCACTGGAGTTTGGAGAGAGATCTCAAAATATCGTTCACATTCATTGCTACTTCAAAATCATGGTAGTTGTTAGCCCTGATGCTAAATCTTATTATGAAAGACATTAAAGGTTTAATATAAAGAAATGAAATATAAATATTTATATAATTACACCACAAACTTAAACTAATTTGACAATTGCATTTTAATATAATTGATTTCTTTTATATTCCTATGTACTTTATTGAATAAATTTGAAAGCATTATTTTGAGAAGAAGCTATAAACTTCACCAGATGCCCGAAGCTCCCAAGACACTCAAAAGTTAAGGACCTTTGCATTAGTTATTACAGGTGAATAGAACTTCTTGAAGAAGGAAAAATAAAGATGGGAGCGGTGTTATTCTCAGTTTTTAAGAATATCTGGTTAATTTAGATGATGATTTATCACTTAATGATTGGGCTTCAGGAGAGAGGTGTTTATTTGGTTTACTAGAAAGCCTAAAGAAGCCCTAAAACATCATAGGAGGGCTGCAGCCAGAGTGATGAAAAGCCTGAACTCTGGAGTTGAACCACCGGGCTTCAAATTTCAGTGCACCATTCACTACTTATGTGACCTTGAGCAACTTCTGTGAGTTAAGGCCGTTTCCTCATCTGTCGAGTGGGAGTGATACTTGCCCCTGACTCAAAGGACTGTATGAGGACTGACCGAAATGATTCCTGTAACATTCTCAGCTCAGCCCAATACCTGGCAGATTCTCCTTGCTGTTAGCATTAAAGTCAGCCAAATTTGTTTCCAATAATCTTTCCCTCCATGTTTTTTTTTTCCTAATTATGAAATGCCTCCCTCAGCCCATCACATAGACCTGTTTCATACAGCCAGTGTCTCTCTGTCCTTGGCCCCCTGCCTCAATCTCATCAAAACCCATTCTCAGATAAGGCTCTGGTATTCCTTTCTTATGACTCTGTGTGTTTTCCAATTTTTGAGATACCTCTCCCAAGAATGACAATTCCATCATTGTGTGAAAGGTCCTCGCCTCCAATGAACTGCAATTTCAGCCTCCTAAAGCAGATAAAAGAAGTGTTTCAGGCCGGGCACAGTGGCTTACTCCTGTAATCCCAGCACTTTGGAAGTCCAAGGCTATTGGATCACTTGAGGTCAGGAGTTTGAGACCAGCCTGGCCAACATGGTGGAACCCCGTCTCTACTAAAAATACAAAAATTAGTTGGGCATGGTGGCAGGCATCTGTAATCCCAGCTACTCCAGAGGCTGAGGCAGAAGGATCACTTGAAGAGTGATCACCTGGGAGGCGGAGGTTGCAGGGAGCAGAGATCGCACCACTGCACTGCAGCCTGGGCAACAGAGTGAGACTTTGAGAGAGAGAGAGAGAGAGAAAGAGAGAGAGAGAGAGAGACAGAGAGAGAGAGAAATGTTTCTCTTGCCTGGACAACAGAGCAAGACTTTGAGAAAGGAAAAAGAAAGAAAGAGCGGGAGGGGAGAGAGAGAGGGAGAGAGGGAGGGAGGGAGAGAAGGGAGGGAGGGAAATATTTCTCTTGCTTGGGCAACAAAGAAAAAGAAAGAAAGAAAGAGAAAGAAAGAAAGAAAAAAGAAAAGAAAAGAGAAAGGAAGGAAGGAAGGAAGGAAGGAAAGAAGAAAGAAAAAAAGAAAGAAAGAAAGAAAGAAAGAAAGAAAGAAAGAAAGAAAGAAAGAAAGAAAGAAAGAAAGAAAGGAGGAAAGAGAAAGAAAGAAAAAGAAAGAAGGAAGGAAGGAAGGAGGGAAGGAAGGAAGGAAAAAGAGAAATATTTTTCTCTCTAGATGGAATGCTCATCCTTTTGTTTCTCTGCACCTTTTGCTTCTCTCCAGCTCGAGTCTCACCTCGTTCCAAAAACCTCCCCGCCTCTCTTGTCCTCACCAGCAGAGGCAGGAAGTGGCCCTCGATGTGACTAAACTCTGAGCACAGAGGGTCTGCCCACCCATCTGGACATTCAGCCAAGTATGGCTTCTTTATTTCTCTCCTCTGCTTTCCTGGGGAGGTCAGCTGTTCTCATGAACAGGGGCCTAGTGTTTTTCCTTTTAGATTCCTAGGGATGCCCAATTAGGCAAGGTAAAGAAAGAGCATCTTTAAATGTTTTTTAGCAGTTCTTCCTTAAATTCTCCTGGCCTCCATGCCTGTGCTGTGAGTTCCCAGGGGTAGAATGAGCTAAACTTGGCATGCAAAAAGAACCAGGAATGTCTCTGCTAAACTTCTTAAGTAAGGAGTCTCTAGAGAAGGCCAGACAGGGGTTGAACAGTCACCTCAAGGACTCAAGGATCCTGCCCTTTCTAAGACTCTGATACTCCCTGCATCCAGGAACGCTGTGGTAGAAAAGCCCTGGAGTTTAGGAGTCTTGGGGTCTGACCCTGGCTCTCAAAGTGACCAGATGTGTGACCGTTAACAAATATATTCCCCATTCTGGACTTCGGTTTCATCAGCTGTGAAATGAATGGTTTGAATTTGATATTCTCACTTCGACCCTAAGAAGGAGAATTGGACTCATTGTTTGTGGATATATTCCAAAATATATCATATTTTTCAAGAATAGAACTCATTTATAATTTTCTGGTCATCTCACAAATTCTTTGGCATTCTTTTTCATAAGAAGCATGGAACTTCTTTCACGCTTCGGGAATTGCTGGAGTGATCACTACACTGCCTTGTTTAGTGTCATTCCAATTATTTCAAAAATTGTAGTCAGTAGGCACAATCTCCAAAAGCTTTACTGTAAATCTGCCCTTATACTTTAGTTATGGAAACAGTCTGATTTTACAAAATCACATCTTTATCCTTCTGTAAAAGACAATGTGTGTATCTGTTTGCATACTGAAAGTATTTAGAGAACAGAATATATACACATGGGCACAAGTGCCATTTTCTGGGGCTTACCACCAGTTTTTGGAAAAGCCACCAAGTGGGCAGCTAGTTGGATGAATCTGAGCATGGCATGGTATTTGTCTCTTACTCACTTTGCAAATGTGGATATTAAGCCTGTTCAGGTTTAGCCTTAGCTTATGCAATAGCCATAAACAGGTCCTCAGATTTCAAGTCTTGGCACTCAGATACTAAAACGTATTAATGGTTTTACCAGAGCAGACTTCTAGGAAGAGGATCTATAAATCAGTTAAATCTCTTTGGATGGAGAGGGGAAGTCTGCAGGCAGCAGCAGCATGAGTTAGCACTGATCTCACAGATCACATGATCATGGAAACTACTTAGTGTTCACTGAAAGAACCGTCTCACTACAACTAGGAAAAAAACAGGAGAGGTGGAATTCACAGGACATGGCACTCCATGATTTTCTACATATACAGGTATTTTCATTTCACTTGATAACAACACAACAGTCTCATTCACTATAAAATTACAAGCAGGCACTAATATCAGAAAGTATTACAGATAGTTGAGTGAAAAACTGATACACTTTAGGCTGAAAAGCAGAGGGGGGTTGGTTGTCGAATATAAAGAGCTCCTATTTAATACAATCAACTCGTTTTGCATTCTTAATGAAAGGGGTGAACATAATGACAATAAATTATATCATTGTTAACTTTTTAATCCAAATGCTAACCTTCCAGATTTAAGAACGTAATATATGATCTTACATAAAAAAAATTTAAATGGCCTTCCAATGCCTGTTTGGTTTAGGCTAATATTTTAATTAATTTTATTCTCCAAGAGCATTCTGAGTAAATTGTAGGGTAAGTCTGTTGGGTGATAAATGGGAAGAAATAAGTAGGTTTTTGAAATGCCTCTTTCAGGGAAACAAAGTTACTATACAAAGTAAATTTTGCTGCCAAAAATAAGGCATTGACTATATTTGGAGGGGAACAGGCCACACAGGGGCTACTTAAATAACCTTGTAAGTGTGCTGCTCTCAAATTAAATAAGAAAAAGACAAGTCCACACTATAGCTTTGCACATTCGTGAGAAAAAAAAACAGATTGAGAAACAACCATCCCGTTGCCCAGATTCATGCTGGCTGGGAACAGGCATGGGAAAATGATCAGTACTTCCAGTATCACAAAGATGCTCCAATTCTGGAGTTTCCAAAACCCTAAACTCATCTTCTGAACGAAGACTCAGCCACCCTTTCCTTCATGCATCTACCAACAAATCTCATGGCCTTGTTTGTACAACCATGTTATTAGGCACATAATGCATACTGCGCTGTAAGAAGTACCAAGGAATAATTCACACAAAGGAAAATGAAAGTGGAGACAGCCAGGTTTCTGGAAACACAAGTCAAAGAAAGAGGTTTTTCTTGTCCAGGCACACTACGCATAGTTCCTAGTCCATCCTTTTGGCAACTTGTGTGGTTGAAAGCATCTTCCGCGAATCGTCTCATTGGCTTCTCACAGCCACTCTGTCGGAAGGAATCACAGGTGTTACTTTTGTCCCCTCAGAGAGGCTTTGCCCAGGGCTACACAGGTGACAGAGTCAAGGCTGGCCCTCAGATCTTCCAATTCCAAAATACCAAACTCCAAAACTCAAAACATCAAACAAGGGAGGCAGGTTAGAAAGTGGGATGAGCCTTCAATAAGCCTGTAGGGTCACTGAAGCTCACTGCTTGGTCTGACACTATTCATCTGTATGTCCCTTTCCTTCTTGGGTGCCCAGGTTTCCACAGTCTTCTGGAAGATACGTCTGACCCGCATCCCCTGCCACATGACTTCATTCACACTGAGGACTAGAAATGTGTGGCTTATGCCTCCCAAGAGGACCCCTGTTTTAGAAGCAAAGCAATTCTTAATCCAAAGGAACAATGACTAGGATGGGGTTCAGGCACCAGTAACAAGGATATCTTGCCCTCGAATCACATTGATGAGGATTCCTTACCACACTCTCTGGTTAGGAGGGAACTCTTCATCACTTACATTTGAGGGCTGGTGAAAATGGAAAAATGCATGAAGGCCACATCCAGGAGGTATTGTGACCAATTTCAAAGATCCTATGCTTCACAAACATGTAGGCATGAGAGGGAAGGGAAGGACTTAGGGGAACCTAATTGTTCGAAACTGAAATAACAGGTGGGAACAGTATCATCCGTATACCTGGAGAGCCTGATCCCTGCCCTGAGCTGCGTTGAGCCCCACATGCTTCCAGTTTTGCCTTCCTGTTTTGACTCTCCCCCAACTGCACCTCCCTCCCCACCAAAAGCAAAAGTTCCATGGAGCCAGGGGACATGACTACCCTGAATCCAGGCTAACCCCTCTGGACTTACTCCAGGTACCCAGAACCCCATAATTCTCTGTCCAAATGGCATCCACGGTCTATGTGTCTTCTTCCCCAAGCCAGTCCTTCTGATGCAGAGCCTTACCACCTATGTGCAGAGCTCTGGGCCTGAGGGTGGCCATAGAGCAGGGTGGGAGGAAGCGTTTGCACAGAACTTGGCCATGAATACTGTGATGTCGATGCATATGCATGTAAGGCTCCTTGCCATGAGAGATAAGAGGAGAAGGTCTTCAGGAGCCTCGTGTCTGTTCTGTATTCTTGCTCCAGCCTTGCAAATGTTAGGCATGAACACTAGCTGAAGAGTATTCCCAGAGGTGAGCTAGATCTGTGTCTGATCAGTAGCGGGATGGCCCAGAGACACCCTCACACTACAAAGACATGTACTGCAATCCTAGATACCTACTCCAGTTCTTTTGTGGAAACTCCCTTATTTCTATCTACACCACACATTTTCCTTGGTTTAATTTAAATTTCATTTTGCCAACTAAATGTCAACATACATAGGTTTTACCAGTACCTACTGGTGTATAAATCAGACATTCAACAAATGCCTCTGGCGATAGTGTCTGGTCACATGCATTTTAGAAATTCTGAGCTCCGTGAACAGTGTTCACAGAGTGGTCCATTTACTCTGCCCTCTGCAGCAAACAAAAAGTTCCAGGTTGATGTGCATCCGAGCACACCGGTCAGTGTCCCCAGGGCCCTGCCTTGTGTTTAAACTTTGCCAAGTCCAGGGGGTTATTTCAGTCTGATGCAGTCCACCTCTTCGGTGGCAGGCATCCCGATTGTCTTGAGGTCCAGGTCTGCGCTGGACTTACCGTTGTAAGAAGCCTTCCAGTGGAGCCGCAGGATCTTTTTGAAGTACTTGACTGTGTTGTTCTTGACGGTCACGAAGCACAGGGTGTTGATCATGCTGTTGCTCATGGCGATGCACTCGACGATGTAGAAGGCGGTGAGGTAGTGCTTCTCCTTCACGAACACGGTGGGGAAGAAGTCGCGCACGATGGTGAAGCCGTAGAAGGGCGCCCAGCACAGCACGTAGGCGGTGAGGATGCACATGAGCACCAGGACCGTCTTCCTGCGGCAGCGCAGCCGCTTGCGGATCTGCTCGGTCTGGAACCCAGGGACCGCCTTGAACCAGAGCTCCCGGGAGATCCTGGCATAGCACAGGGTCATGGTGACCACGGGGCCCACGAACTCCACGCCGAAGATAAACAGGAAGTAGGACTTGTAGTAGAGCTGCTGGTCCACAGGCCAGATCTGGCCGCAGAAGATCTTTTCCTGGCTCTTGACAATGACGAGGACGGTCTCGGTGGTGAAGTAGGCGGAAGGAATGGCAATCAGGATGGACACCGTCCACACCAAGGCAATCAGGCCAGTGGCTGTCTGGCACTTCATCCGTGGTCTCAGCGGGTGGACAATAGCCAGATACCTAGGGCAAGAACACACGTGGAGGCAGCCACTGTGAGGAAGAAGCGCTGGATGATTTTTATTTTTATTTTTTGAAACAGGGTTTTGCTTTGTCCCCCAGGCTGGAGTGCAGTGAGTGCAGTGGCATGATCATAGCTCACTGCAGCCTCAAACTCATAGGCCAGAGCAATCCTTCCACCTCAGCCTCCAAGTAACTGGGACTAGAGATACAATGCACCACACGTGCTAATTTTTTTTTTTTTTTAATTTTTTGTAGAGGCAGAGTCTCTGTATGCTGCCCAGCTTAGTCTCAAATTCCTGGCTCAAGCAAATCTCCTGCCATTTCATTTTGCAACATTCTAAGGAGCAACCAAATGGTATGCATGGAGAAAATTCCCAGTGGTATGTGGGCTTCTGCAAAAGACCGACTTGAAGCAAACCCCAGTCTCTTCTCTAACTAGCTGTGCAATCTCAGGCAAGTTTGGAAACTGACCCTTAGTTTCCTTATCTGCAAAAGTTTTGTTGGCTGTTAAATGTGATAATGTATGCACTATGCCCGGCACAGTTTTAAACCTAATATGTACTCAAAAATGATAACAATTATTATTAAATGTAATAATTCCTCCCGTTGGTTTCTAGCCTGGCACTGTTCCCAGCTGCTTCCTGTTCTTGGGCTTTTCATTCTAATTACCTGGCAGTTTAAAACTAAAAGGGCAGGATAATTCAAAGAGCTGGGAGAATCTGCCCTTTACAATGGAAACAGTGGGCAAAGGTTTTTCTTAATTCCACATTCTAAAAATTGTTGCTTTGCATGCAAAGGAGGAGGAAAAGCATGTGGCCAAATACCACATTTTCCAGGTGGAAAAATGGAAGGCAGTGAGAGATGAGTGACTTTCTCAAGGTCACAGACCACAGGACCCTTCCTTGATAGAAAACATTTAACCCTACCTCACAGGATTGATGTGAAAATCAATTGAGAATATACATGAATGTATTTTTTTTAACCGCAAAGCAGAAGAATGTAAAAGATACTGCTTTTGTTCTTTTAAAAAAAGGTCAAAACCTATATTGCTGTTACCACAGTGGTACAGGAACACAAAGAGAGAGCACTTTCTGGGGGGATGTGAGTCATTGTGCGGCATAATAGCTGATAGCCTCCTTCCCAGAGAGAATGCACACAACTTATGCAGAGAGCTCCGGTTTCCTGGAAGACATCCTGTGGCTGGCAGCGGGTGGAAGTTGGAGAAGGAGAGAGATGGGGAGTGAAGTGGGAGGGGACTGACTGGCCAACATTGGAAACAAACACGGTCTCACGTGTCCAGAGCTTATCCCAGGTAGAGCCCAGAGCAAGTGTGACAGGGGCCTGAAGGAAAGCCAAACCAAACCAGCTCTGTTTCCTTTGAAACAAACCCCTATGAAGTCATCCTTTGTGGAATTCTGATTTGAAGAGAGGTTCATTCTTTTTTTTTTTTTTTCCTGATTGTATTTCTGCTCTTTCTGTTCCTCCCTAACAGCCTGGGCAGTTAAACCCTTTAGAGAGTTCACAGGAGTGAGCCTCCAGCTCTCTTCTAGCCCCCAGATGTTAAATGAAGTAGGGGCTGGGCACAGTGGCTCATGCCTGTAATCCCAGCACGTTGGGAGGCCGAGGCAGGTGGATCACCTGAGGTCAGGAGTTCGAGACCAGCCTGGCCAACATGGTGAAACCCTGTCTCTACTAAAAATGCAAAAATTAGCTGGGTGTGGTGGCCGGTGCCTATAATCCCAGCTACTTGGGAGGCTAATGTAGGAGAATTGCTTAAACCAAGGAGATGGAGGTTGCAGTGAGCCGAGAATATGCCACTGCACTCCAGCCTGTGTGACAGAGCAAGACTCCATCTTAAAAATTAAAAAATGAAGTAGGCTGGGTTGCGCCCACTCTGGACACGTGGCCACCTGCCATCCCTGGCACTCTAGCCAATCTCTCCATTGCCAGAGGATAAAAAGGGAAATGTCTGTGAGGTGTTGGCAATGCCATTGTCAACGCAGGAGTGTGGACCCTTCATAAAGACCACGGTGCTCCTGATGCAACCAGAGCCCCCAACTCCCCCTGACTCACAATGAAAACTGAGAGTTTAGACCTTCTGCTCTCATTGGCACCACTGCTCCCTGTCCACCCCACTACGTTCTGCTGATTACTCTGACAAAGAAATTTCCTATATTCATAGTTATTCACTATAAGAATTTTCATCACATAATTCTTTTTCCTGATAGTAGCTACCTAAGCCTTATGATGCTTCAAACTCAGAGTGTGTTTTCAATAAACATATGGGAAAGAATACCGACCGAGGACTCAGAAGACCACAAATCGAATCCCAGCTTTGCCAGAAAGTTGCTCTATGAATCTCAGTCATTTTTCTTATCCCTGTAGGTTCGTTTCCCTCATCTGTAAAATGGGAATATCACCTAGATACTATGAGGCTCCAATGAGACACTGCACATAAGAAACAGTAAACTATTAATATACAAAGAACTGTTAGCATCTTAAAACGTATTTTTTCCCAGAGCTATCCTGTATACACAGATATTTTTCTTTACCTGTTATTGGCAAATACTTGATTTGCAAGTCTTCTCCTACTTTCTGTTTTATAGGATAAACTCTATATGTCAAATCTAATCTTCAGAGTAATCTGTAACTACCTGTCAAATAGTTATTTCATTCCGACATCACCCCAACTCCATTCCCAGAATTAGTGCTGTGCGCTATGTAAGAGGTCTTCCTGATACATTTACCAATAGGCAAATTGCAGAAAACTATTTCAAGGACTTCTGTCAACTTTGTGAATGCTAGGACCAGAACTTCAGAACTCTAGCATTCGTAATGTTTGCTTAATGTTTGTAAAGAAGTTTGCAATTTACAGAGCACTTTCAAATCCACTTTTTCACTAGGTAATTCCAACCCTATTAAATAGGTAAGACAGTGATGATGTCCACTTTACAGATGAGAAAACTGAGGCTTGAAGAAGTTAAATAACCTGCCAAAAAGCCACACAGCTAGATATCAACAGAGTGATGACTTGCTGCAAATCCAGTGGCATCTCTGAATGCCATTTACCCCCTCTTTTTTTAGCCAAAAGCAGATGATGTCCCTTCCTCTTGCCTTCCTTGCATCCCAGCAGCCCTTCTCCTCTTTCCTCTCCATCACAGTTGGCTTCTATCTATTGGTGTTCCAAGAAGGGGTATGAACATCTGGCAGCTGCTTTTCTCGGCTTATGAGTATGCCCTTGGCTTGCCCTGTGTGTCTGCCACTACAGTGGCTCAGGCCCAGATTCATGTAGAGCTAACAGTTCTCAGCAAACAAGGAATGAAGGCTGCTAGACGAAAAGATGGCCCAGGCAATAACTGTGATAATAGTGGACTGGAAAAGACATATTTGGGCTCTGCCTGTGTTCTCAGGACCCAGCCCCAGATCAAGTCATGGTAACAGTGGTCCCAGCTGCTATTAGGCTAGTCATGGGACGGGCCGAGATAACACGGCCCGATCCTCAGGCCAGTGGCCCTGACTAATGAGCTCACCAGGAGGCATCTGTGCTTCCTAAAGCTGGGCGAGATTACTCAGGCCTTAGCCTCATCAAGACAGAAGAAGAGAGCTTCTTCACAGGTCCATACATTGGCCAGTTTCCTCAGGATTCTGGGTAAAAGGGAAGTTCCCCGGATCCCCCACATGCTGTAGGATCTTAGTGTCTCCACATAAAAGAGGAAACCCAGATCTCTGGCTGGGGCAGAGATCCCTCATGATCCTTTTTTTTTTTTTTAAGACAGGGGCTGGCTGGAGTGCAGTGGGTGATAACAGCTCACTGCAGCTTCTATCTTCTAGGTTCAAGGATTCCTCCCACTCCAGCCTCCCAAATAGCAGGGACTACAGGCACATGCCACCATGCCTGGTAATTTTTTTTTTTTTTTTTTTTTTTTTGTAGAGACAGAATCTCCCTATGTTGCCCAGGGTGATCTTGAACTCCTGAGCTTAAAAGATTTTCCCGCCTAGGCCTCCCAAAGTGCTAGGATTACAGGCGTGAGTCACTGCACCTGGTCTCATGATCTTCTTTAGTTTCCTCCTGCCCTCAGGTTTCACTCCCTCTGCCTGGCTGCTGAGACCTTCTGGAATAGATCCTATTCTTTCTGATCTCTACTCTCCTTGTGTTTCTTAACCATGCCGGACATCCCTCTCTAAGGTACCTCACTCTCGCCTCAGGCATTCCCGCCTCTAGGCTTTTCCAAACACTGTTCTACTCACTCCCTTGGGAAAACTTCCTGCTCCTTTGCTGATCTTCCTTTGTTGAAGGCCAGTTAGAAGTCTACCTCCTCCATGAAGCCTCCTCTGACTACTCCAGTACCTAATGGTCTCATCCTTCTCTAAATTTACTTATTCTTTAACTGTTTTGTAAGTGTTAGTTCTCCCTGGTCCTACCCTACCCCTAACTCTAGATGGTCAGCCCTGCAAGAGCTGTGATTGTGTCTTATTTCTTTTACAACCTTTTACTGTCTGTGAATTCTGGGCACCTAATAGGATTTTCATGTCACTTCACCCTCATCAAATGCCTGGAACTGGATGAATAGACATGTAAAAAAAGCTGGCTGGACACTGGCTCACACCTGTAATCCTAATACGTTTGGAGGTTGCGGCACAATAATTATTTAAGACCAGTCCAAGACTAGCCTGGCAACATAGCAAGATCCCATCTCTAAAAAAAGAATTAATATAAAAGGCCATGGTGAAGATTGCAACCTTTTTTGGGAAAACAGGACATAAATGTGTTTATCCATGAGACCGGGAAGCAGTCTGGGGCTAGATAATAAAAGTTTGGAAGAACAGGTGAAAGGGTTTGAGCCATACTTTGTAGACAATGGAGTCAGTAGAGGTCTTTTAAGCAAGAAAGAGGAGACATGTACAAGACAGAAGATTAATTTGGCTGCAGCCTTGCTTACTTCCCTCAGGCCACATGGGGCCTTCTCTCTGTTCCTCTGTTCCTAGAACTCAACTGGTTTGTTCCTGCCTCCCAGCCTCTGCACTTGGAATCCCCCTTGTCTGGGATGCTTGATCCCTGTCTTCCCAAGGCAGGCTCTTTCCCCTGCATCATTCAGAAGCCAGACCAAAGGCCTCTCCTCAGAGGCACTTCTCTTGACTACTCACCTAAAGTAGGTCCCACCTTCAGTCACTCTGGCCATTTTATGTGTGTGCTTGTTTTTGTTCAGAATATTTCTTGTTTTTGAAATTACCTTCCTTTTTTGTTTGCCTGACTGTGACCTCTCTCTATCCTTTGGGTATAAGCTCCAGGAGAGCAAGGAGGTGTTTTTTTTGTTGTTGTTGTTGTTTGTTTTGTTTTTTTTTGTCTTATTCACAGTCGTGTCTCCAGTGCTTGCAATAACATCTGTCGTATCATAGTTACTCTATAAAAATGCATGGTTTAAATGAATGAATGAATGAATGAATGAAAGCTTAGGATGGATTGTCAGGAGAGTAGGGTTAACAGATGGGCAGATCCAAGAAACACTGAAGGCAGAAAGACCAAGAGGAGACTAGATACCAGCCCAGAATGAACAAATGGGTATTGCCAAGATCTGGAAGTTGAATGAATGCTGGTGAAGAAGGGAGAGCAGCTGGGACAAAGGAGATTTTCTTCTAGTTTAGGTGCCTGAGAGAACAATGGAAACAATAATAGAAACAGAAATACAAGCTGATGGACGATAAATATTTCTGTTCTGCCATTTCATAGAAATCTTGAATTTTTTTAAATCACATCCTAAAAACAATAATTTCAATGAAAACAAAGAGGTTAGTGTGTCAGAAATATTCATTAATTTATCTGCTTTTTTGTGGTAGACATTCCTATAAGGGTTAATTTAAGAATTAACCCTTATATCCACTGTTTATTTAGTGCTTATTGTTTTAAATATTGTTCTAGGCAATTAAATATATTATTTCATTTAATCCTCAAAGCAACCTAATACAATAGGCTTTCTGTTTATTCTCATTTCATAAGTGAGAAAACTGAGGCAGAGAGAGGTCAAATAACACAAGACCCAACATAAAATACAGCTGGAATTTAAACCCAGGCAGAATAACGGCTAACATTGCTGCAGAAATTTCATTAAATGAACATAAAGGCATTTTTACAACTAAGTGTATGTGTTATAAACCAAGATAAAAATTAGTTGCTCCCAACTGATCAAATCCTGAACACCACATGAGACCAGAGAAAAATTAATGATTCCTAGACCACAATTAGATGGTAACAATGCATACAAATAAAAATAATTGAAGCAAAGATCACAAACATCAGTAAAAGAACTCCATGCATTGGAGCAGCCATTCATCCACCAAGACCGTTGAGTAGCCCTGTGAAGGCACACGGTGCTTTCTTCAAGGTCTGGGTACAAGCTTCCAATCATAAACCCACTCAACCATAGCAGCCCCCATGGTGCAAAGCACCGTGTTTTTTAATTCAGCTTTCTTATTGCATCTAATTTGCTTTGTGTAAACTCACACTGCAAGAGAAATGCTTGCAATATTTCAGACAAGCTGTTTGGTATGAAACAAGGATATGAGCCTGAAAAAGTTCAGAAGATGGAGACTGACTGATTGATATAGATATCACTCTTACATGTTCCAAATAACTCAATGCCTCTGAGTATACCCTGGCTTCCTTTCCCCTTGAAGCTACTCCCTCCTACCGTTGTTACTTTTCTCAAGTGGTAGAATGGATCTAAGCTGGGGAGTAAGGTCCCACTCCATAGGAGGCACCCTACCTCACTTTTAGTAGCTAAGCACGTGTAGTTTCTTGCTAGTATGAAACTTTAGGAAATGATTCTGTATGCTTTGTCTTGTTCATGGGCTAAGAGAGAAGGTGGCAGCTTCTATTTTCAGAAACGTTCAGAGACAAATTCCCTGGAGCTCTTTTTTGGTAGCTCTGAAGGGAACCTAACAGTTAGATACTCTACTTGACTGCTGCCCTCCTGCTCCTTCTGTGGGTTCACCCAGGGTCCTTGCCCAGGTAAATTAAAAGCTGCAGGGCTCTGTGACTCAGTGGAGGGAATCTGGCCAAGGAGAAGTAGCACTCTGCAAGGATGACACCTTTTCTGTGCGGGACAGACTAAGGGCTATGTAAGCTCCTAATTCCCTGATGTCCTTCCCTGGAAAAGGGAGGCAGAGGCCCCACCTCTCGGCGGTTCTACAGAGACTCCTTCGTAACCCCCTTTTCTCAGGTTATCCTTTTCAGTCATCCTAGCCCTGGTCACCCTGCCTGTGGTCTCAGAAAACAAGCTCTCTCAGCTGTGCTCCTCCCCAGAACACTGTCCTGGCTGTGAGGGCCAGGTCAAACTCCCTCAGATCCCTGAGGCCAGAGAACAGGAAGTGCATGTATGCCTCAGGCTCTCTGGGTTAAGGGAGAGAGTCGGGCTGTTCAGATCCAAGTACACAGAGGCCTGATTTGACCCTCAGGGTAACTCTCTCTAGACTGTAACCAGGTGCTTTGTAATAACAGTCCAACTGTGGGCAGAAGAGCTAGCAAAGATTATCCCTGGGGAAACAAAGACCAGCCTGGCCCACTAGGAGGGGTTTATACTAAAGGAAGAGTTTATACTAAAGGAAGAGACTACGTTGAAGAAAGATACGCAAAGTCTGCTCATCCTGATTTTATTTGTGGTCACCAGAAACAGGTCGTCTGCACTATCTGTGCAAATGGACTAAAAGGTGCAAAGTGATTAACACAACAACAAAAAGTAAATAAACATATGTTCTCCTTTTTTTTTTTTTCAAAACAAATCCCTCAATCTTTTCATTTTTATTTACTTTTTAGAGACAGGGTCTCCCTCTGTCCCCGAGGTTGGAATACGATGGCATGATCATAGCTTACTGCAGCCTCGAACTCCTGGGCTCAAGTGATTCTCCTGCCTCAGCCTCCCAACTAGCTAGGACTACAGGCACACACCACCACGTCCGGCTGATGTTTTTTTCCTAAAGATGAGGTCTGGATATGTTGCCCATGCTGGTCTTGAACTCCTAGCCTCAAATGCTCCTCCTGCCTCAGCTTCCCAAAGTGCTGGGATTATAGGCTTGAACTACCTACCACACCTGGCCACAAATCCTTGAATCTTATTTTAAAACAGCTGGTGCCAGAAGATCATATTTTAGTAGAGGAAGTCTTGATGAGATAGAAACCTCCTTCAAGATTTACAAGTTGACTCAAGAGGTAACTGCCTGGAGCTTAAACTGTCCCTCAATATCTCCTCTTACCCGTCTACTCTAGACCTTGGAAGGTGTAACATCTAGGAAAACATCCATAGCAGGGAAGATCAAAAACTTCCCATCATCTAACTCTAGAGGGCTCTGCTGCCTTCTGTCTGAACAAAGCTGGAAAAAGAGAACTCTTGTCAGTCCATGGTCAAGCTTTTGAATCCCCCGTGCATCCACCTCTAGGAGGAATACAGACACCTCTCATCAATCTGCAACTGCAGCACAGGAGGAGGCAATTCCAATGCCTCTTCCTCCCTGACTGCCTTTGTTGCCCCCACTGCGGCTGCACTCACCTGTCAATGGCGATGGCCAGCAGGGCATTGGTGGAGACGTAGAGAGAGACAGTGCGCAGGTAGTTGACAGAGGTGCACAGGATGTGGCCATGCTCCCAGGAGAGCTGGCGCACCACGTAGTAGTCCATCTCAAAGGGGCAGCAGACAATAGCCACCAGGAAGTCAGAGATGGCCAGGTTGGCGATGAGCAGGTTGGTGAGATTGCGCAGCTTCTTGTAGCGGACCAGGGCAGCAATAAAGATGAAGTTGCCAATGCCACAGACAAGCATGATGCCCAACAGGGCCATGCCAATGACAATCTTAGCAGCAAAGAATGTTCGGGAATTGGTCACATCCTCATCTTCATCCAAAGGCATATCATAGTCGCCATAGCTGAAGTTGAATGGAAAGGAAGCGGTGTGGGCTCCATGGGGGTTAAATGCAGAAAGGAAACTGCTGGAGGTGTTGGTGACATTGCCGTCCATGAACCCCATGGTGGTCTCCATCTGGCCAGGCGGTGCTGTGAGCAACAGTGCTCGGAATTCCTTAGGGCAATGTCTGCAAGGCTGATGTCACCCCTCTCTGCTATCACTCAGCTCTCCCTCAATGAGTCAGAATGTCTCTGCCAGCATCTTTGGAGTCTGGTATCTGAGCTCCATTCTAAACCTTTGAAAGGCATACAAACAGTTGGCTACCTGTTGGAGTAAAGCTGGCTAAATTTAAAACCATCCCGTAACCTAAGCAGACCTATTAGCCACCTGCCCAGAGAGAATATAGGGTGGTGGAATGGAAATAAAGGAACTAATAAGAAAATGAACGAAAACCACATACTCAGTTAGGGAAGGGTGGATTGCTATAGAGACAATCGAGCACTGGCTCGGCTTATTTCTGTTCCACTGAAGATTCAGAAATGTTTTACCTTTTCTCAAGGACAAAAGTTGGGAGTGTGGGGAGGCTGAAGAGAAAGAAATTACTTTAAATGCTATTGAAGAGGGCGGGATTTCAGACAAGCCTGTCTGCTCTCCTTGCTCTTCTGGCAAAACAAGGCTCTAAAATCACAGAGCCACAGAGCAGCCACCTTCCTCTCTCTTCGCTGGGCTTCCTGTTCCTACATCAGAACCTCCTGTGACCCTAGAAGCTGGGAACAGCATTTACAAAGGCCTGTCACAAGGCAGAGACTGTAGGGTCAAGTCACAGCCTGTGACTAACCAAGTGGTGAGAATGGGGACTCTAGAGCATATTTTTTCCTTGGCTGGTTGAGTGTCCAGAGCTAAATAGCTTAAACACTCAGAGGTTCAACATCTGCCAGGCAGGAGATCAATAATGTCTGCGCAGCCTGAAGCTCCCTGGAGGAGAGTGTTATACCCTAGAACTGCAGGGATTTACTACTGAGCTCTTAAGCCTCCTTGGTCGGTGACAAGGAAGGGGAGTGAAATTCTGATACAGAAACTCCACCACACCACATAATAGGGCCGGGACGAGGGGTCTGGGGGATTGTCAGCTGCCCTGCTGCAGACAGGGAGGAAACCAGAGTCCCCCTGTCTCCTGCCCTCTCCCTGCAGTCCTTCCCAAACTCTGAAGACATCAGACCAGGGATTGGGACATAGAAGGAGGGCTGAGGTCTGGAGAGCATCCTAAAACAAACGTCAGGAGAACAGAGGGAAGAATGCAAGACTGAGCTTCCTGGAAAAGGGAGATGAGGAACATGCCAAGGACCCCTCCCCCCCCCACCCACCCACCAGGAAAGCCTGCTTTCCGTATTCCTCCAAGACAAGACATCTGGAGCTGTCTTCCTGGAGCCAGGGTTAAAGTCCCTCTGCGCCCCAGTGGGGCTCAGACCCACTGCTGCCTCTCTTTCCCAACACCTTACCCTGATTTTTTCTTCCACTGAGCTCTCAGTTCTGTCTGGCTAAGCCCTTGCCCTCTGCCCCTGTCAAGAAGCAGCAGAACTCAGCTGAAAAGAAGGGGCGCAGGCTTGGAGCCAAGGCGGGACAGGCCCCACTCCTTGCAGGCCCCGTGGGTGGCAGAGACATGGCACTCGGGGGGGAGTACCCCTACCAGCATGCTACCTGAAGTCTCAAAGTAGGTTTCAAAAACAAAGTATAGAAACTTCGGGGATGGAGAGGAGGGTGTCACGAGATTAAGGATGACTATCCATTGGTCTTTTCTCCTTTATTCTCACCTTTCAGAGGGGAGCCCCAATCCGACCCCACCTGGTGACCTCTCGATCGCTGGGAGCCTCTCTCACAAACGCCTGCAGATCAGTCCCTCGCCTGCTCCCAACTTTCTCCCTGGAGCCTGGGCGGTTTCCCCTAAGGGCAGTGGAGGGGAAGGCTGGCTCTCCTGAAGAAACGCACAGGAGTGAATTCCTTGCAAAGACCCCTCTTCACTCAGAAGCCGCCGCACCCGTCGGCTGCAGCCAGTGCAGCGCGGGGTCCCTGGAGCATCCTCCCCGGGAGGGCGCGCTCGGTACCTGCAGCATCGCGGAGTCGGGTGGACGAGGTCCGGGTTTCTATTCCGGGGCCGGAACAGGAGACGCTTCTTCCAGAAGCCGGCAGGCGGAGGGCAGGTCCCCGCTCCCTTTCTCCTCTGCTCGGGGCTCTTTCCCGGCTCTGGCGGGAGTTACGCTCGCGCTGCCGCCGCCGCCGCCGCAGATCCCCCGGCTCGGCCTGCCCCGGACTCCCTGTCCCCGCCTCCGGTGGCCGTGGGGCGCCGAGGTGCCGGCTAGAGGCTGGGCGCGTCGGGGGTCGTCCGGGCCAGCGGGGCTGGGGAGGCCGGGATCGCCCTGGACAGGAGCGTCCAGGACGCCCGGGCAGCCGCTAGCGGCGAGGACGCGCGGGATGGATCCGGGCCAGGCTGGCGGCGCGTTCCCCGGCTCAGGCTCCGGAACGGCCGCCCCGGGCGGAAACCGGGGCGCTGGGGCTCCCGGCAGGGCTCTGCGCCGACCCCGCGCTGGGGGCACCCAGGCGGGGCGGCTGTGCCCGCCTTGGGGCACGGGGCTCCTCAGCGGCTCACCTTGGCAGCCCGGCGCCGTCGGAGTGGGCGGACACGGCCCCGCTCAGCCACGAGCGTGCAAAGGACCGAGGAGGCTCTCCCGCTGCCCACACACTCAACCTCAGGGGACACGCCCGGGGCGGCCTCCAACCTCGTCCCCTGGGCCAGCCCGACCGGACACCAGGGCCATCTTCGGTGCCAGCTGCCGTACCTCCGCGTAAAAGAGGCTCAGAGAAGAGCTTTCTAGAGAGAAACAAGGAGGCGGGGCAGCACACTGGAAAGAGGAAGGACCCCCGCCCAGAGATGTCTGCTCAGAGGCTGGGATGGACAGCGCTGACTTACAGAGCACAGTCTTCCTTTACCAGCCCATAGATTCCTCAAAAAATAGGGCATATAGTTCCGAAATCCCGATCCAAGGTACGTAACCCCAAAGTATTGAAAGTACGGACAACATACACCAATGTTTATGGCAGCACTATTCACAGTAGCCAAAAGACAGAAACAAACCAAATGTCCGTTAAGTGTATTAACAAAATACATATAGTGTATACATAAAATAAAATATTATTCAACTATAAAAAGAAATGATGACAAGTGTTGGTGAGAACGCAGAGAGACTGGAACTCTGCACTGTTGGCAAGAAAGTACAATGGCACAGCCACTGTAGAAAACAGTATAGTGTTTCCTCAAAAAATTAAAAATTACAATTACCATATGATTTAGTGTTTCCACTTCTGGGTGTCTAACCCAAAAAATTAAAAGCAGGATGATAGGGTTTGGCTGTGTCCCCACTCAAATCTCCACTTGAATTGTATGTCCCAGAATTTCCACCTGTTGTGGGAGGGACCCAGGGGAAAGTAACTGAATCATAAGGGGCCTGTTTTTCCCATGCTATTCTTGTGATGGTAATAAGTCTCATAAGATCTGATGGGTTTTTCAGGGGTTTCTGCTTTTGCTTCTTCCTCATTTTTCTCTCTTTGCCACCATGTAAGAAGTGCCTTTCATCTGTCTCCCTGAGGCCTCCCCAGCTGTGTGGAACTGTAGGTCCAATTAAACCTCTTTTTGTTCCCAGTTTCAAGCATGTCTTTATCAACTGCATGAAAATAATACACAGGGTATCAAAGGCATGTTGGTACATCCATGTTCATAGAAGCATTATTAGCTATTATTCACTATTAATAGTGAAAACACGGAAACAGTCCAAATGTCCATCGGCGATGAAGGGATAAACACACTGTTCCACATACACACATGCACTCACATGGGAACTTCCAAAAGTTTGTGGGAAAATTGAATTAAAAGATAAAAATAAAAAAATATAAACTTTAGCTCTCAACATAAGCTTCATCACGTTCAAGATGATTCTGTGATGATGCCAGCCATTTAGTCCATCTCTAAAGAATGGAGGGTCCTGGGCATTTTTCTATTTTTAATTTTTTGTTAAGACAAGGTCTGGCTAGGTTGACCAGGCTAGTCTCAAACTCATGGCCTCAAGTGATCTTTCCACCTCAGCCTCCCAAAGTGCTGTGATTACAGGCATGAGCCACCAGGCCTGGCATGGGTCCTGGGAACTTAACCATGTCAATGAAGTCTTTTTCACATTGTTAAGAAAAATGAGTGCCCGCTAAAGACTTTTTAAGATTAGAAAATGAAGTCAGAAAGAGCCAAATCAGGGCTGTAACATGGGTGCCTAATGATTTCCCATTGAAACTCTTGCAAAATTGCCCTTGTTTGATGAGAAGAATGAGCAGGAGTATTGTCATGGTGGAGAAGGACTATTTGGGGGAGCTTTTTCAGGCATGTTTTCTGCTCCAGCTTTAGCTAATTTCTCCAAATACTCTCATAATAAGCAGATATTATCATTCTTTGGCCTTCTACAGAAAACCACATGCAAAATACTGTGAGCATCCCCTGAAAAATCTATTGCCATGACCTTTGTTCTTGATTGATCTGCTTTTGCTTTGACTGGACTGCTCCCACATCCTGGGAGTCATTGCTTTGATTGTGCTTAGTCTTTAGGATCACACTGGCAAAGTCTTGTCTTTTCTCCTGTTATTACAGTTCTTCAAAGAAATATTTCATAATCTTGATCCCACCTGTTTTGTATTTCATTAAAAGCTCTACTCTCATCTACAGCTGATCTGGGCATAACAATTTTAGCACCCATCAAGTGGAAAGTTTGCTCAACTTTAATTTGCCAGTCAGAAATGAGTAAATTAAACCAATTGAGGTGTCTGTGGTGTTGGTTATTGTTTCTGCTGTTAATCATCCATCTTCTTCAATTAGGGCATGAATAAGATTGATTTTTTTCTCACAAATGATGTGGATGGTCTGCTACTGCAGACTTCATCTTCAACATCCTCTCGTCCCTTCCTGAAACGAGTATCCATTTGTAAACCACCAATATCTTCGGGTCATTGCCGACAAAAAACTTTTCATAAGGTACCAGTGATTTCACCATTCTTCCCCCCAAGCTTCACCATAAATTTCGTGTTTGCCTTTGCTTCGGTTTTTCAGCATTCATGTTGCTCTGATAGGGGCTCTTTTCAAACTGATATCTTATCCTTCTTAGTGCCGCAAACTAGATCCTATTCGGACATGTTGTAACAAATGTGCATGAGTTCATTTTGGTGTAAAAAAAAATTTGAATTCCATGCATACTTTTTTCATAATATGCATTTTCCACAAATTTTTAAAGCCCTCTCGTGTGTATATGTGTGTTTATACACACAGAATGGAATATTATTCAGCTTTAAAATGGAAGGAAATTCTGACATATGCCACAACATGGATATACCTTGAAGACATTGTGCTAAGTGAAATAAGCCAGCCACAAAGGAACAAATATTGTATGAATCCACCTATGTGAGGTAGCAAGAGTAGTCAAATTCATAAAGACAGAAAGTAGAATGGCGGTTGCCTGGGTCTTGAGGAAGGAGGAATGGGGAGCTATTGTTTAATTGGTATAGAGTTTCAGTTTTGAAAAATGAAAGGAATTACAAAGATGGATAGTGGTAATGGTTGCACAACAATCTGAATGTACTTAATACCATTGAACTGTATACTTAAAAACTGTTAAGATGGCAAATATTTTTTTTCACTTTACCACAATGAGAAAATGGGGAAAAAAGGAATGATGTACTGACACACGCTACAACATGGGTGAATCTTGAAAACATCATGCTAAGTTAAATTAAGCCTATCACAAAAACAAATATTGAATGATTACACATATATAAGATACCTAAAATAGGCAAATTCATAAAGTCAGAAGGTAGAATGGTTGTTACCGGGGCTGAGGGGGAGGAGAAATAGCAGATTATTATCTAATGGGCTCAGAGTTTCTGTTTGGGATGATGAAAAAGTTCTGGCAATGGATAGGGGCGATGACTGCACAACATTGTCAATGCATTAATGTCACTGAATTGTACACCTAAACGGTTAACCTGGTGAATTTTATGTGATATATATTTTACATATACAGCCATGCATCACTTAACGATGGGGATACATTCTGAGAAATGCATCATTAGGCAATTTCATTGTGTGAATATCAGAGAGTGCACTTAACACAAACCTAGATGGTATAGCCTACTACACACCTAGTCTGTATGGTATAGCCTAGTGCTCTTAGGCTACAAATTGGAACAGGATGCTACTATACTGAATACTGTAGGCAATGGGAACACAACGGTAAGCATATCTAAACACAGAAAAAGTACAGTGAAAATATGATAGTCTTTTGGCACCACCATCATATATGTGGTTCACCTTTGATCAAAACCTCATTATGCAGCCCATGACTGTATGTATCTCCCATACTATAGCTCAAACCTCCTTAGCAAGGCATCCACCAAGGCCTTGTGATATTGGCCTTCAATTTTCTGTAATAGAAAGAGAGTGCTGCCTGTGATCTGGATCTTTAGTACATTTTGCCACTATCAAAATGTACTAAATGTACAAAATGTATATGACTTTAGGCAAGTCATATACCCTCTCTTGGCTTCTCTTTCCTAATTTACAAAATGAATGAGTTGAGCTTGCACTAGGAAATCACTGCCAAGTTCCAATACGTCATGTAGTATCTTCCCCTGGCCCATATGCCTCCCTGGACACTTTCTCCTGCCATTTGCAAAAATGTCACAGCACTTGCACATCCCTGGGGCTCATGTCACCTGGAAGGTGGAAGAGGACAGTGGTAAAGAGTATGAGATAAGAAGTTCACTGCCTCCTCTCTACCTAGCTCTGCATATGTGAACGGTGTCACCTTGGGCAGTGTGGTAACCAAAACCTTGCCTTCCTCATTTGAAATTGGGAATGACAATAGCTTCTTCTAAGGTTGCAGTGAGGGTTAAATAAAATAAGATGGGTTTAATGCTTAGCACAATGCCTGGCATTTAGCAGGCACCTGAGAAATACAAGCTATTACTATTTCTTAGTGATTCTTTCTATATCTGGCTTCATGTGAGTTCATAATTAATCTTGAGACTTTGCTCACATGTCTTTTCTTCCTGGAAGCACATTCCTCAATTCCTCCAATGGTTTTCATGTCTTCCTTACTTCTTGGTGGTTCTCTTTAAATGCACCTTTGTGCACCAATTTGCTTTCCATTTGCACTCTTTCTGAGAAGGGGCTATGTCTCATTCATTTTTGCATCCTATTCTGCAATGTTTTTCAAATTTGACTGATTATATGAATTATTTGGAGTGGTAGTGAACTTACTGATTCCTAAGTCCCACTTAAAACCAA